CAAAACCGCATCCTAGCAGCAGAGCTTGCGCGCCAGACGCGCGCCTTAGAAGAAAGTCAAAGAGCCCGCAAGGAGGATGGGTTGCAGGAAGTTGCGCAACAACTTCCTGCAACCCATCCTGGTGTTGTTGCTGCGCAACTTGCAATCCGAGTGCTCGGATTTGAGGGCGCAGCGTGCGGAAGCAGAAATGCAGCTGGCGGAGGTAGAAGGCAGCTGCAGGGCGCGAGAAGAGTTGGTGACGCGGGTGACTCACTGCCTAAAAGGATACGCCCATTGGGAGGTGGCAGCTCAAGAGAGGATCACACTCAGGGAGTTCGAGCTTCGGGCGGCGGCATTGACGGAAGGTGACAGTCGGAGTCGGCGGGGAGTAGCGAGGAAATTAGAAACCTTCTTGTCGGGTGCGCGCGACACTATGGCGCACTTAGAGTCGGAAGTCACTGCAGCCCTCCGACGCCTGGGGTTGCGCAGCCGGTCGGAAGACTGGCAAGGTAGAGACAGCGAGCGGAGCAGTCCGGCGCGCAGGAGGCGCAGCACCGGATCCGCCGAGTGCAGTAGTATAGTTTGGTTTCGCGCAGATGTTGCGAGTAGTAGATAGGATAGCGTAGTGTTAGTTAGGACCTTTGAGGGTATAAAGTAGATCAAGGCGTTTTGCCTTGGGACTCTTCCAGTTTCGGAAGTGCAGATCAGGAACTCACTTTCTTGGCGTGTTTGTGCATTTGGTCCTGGCACCACGTAGAGAAGCTGCAGCATAGCGAAGTTACCGTATGTTGTAGTTGAAGGCCTTCGGCTGAATGTTCAGAGCTAGCACCCGGTTAGAGACTTGAGTAGTGCGGATCTGCACCTGCGGGTGATTTCTGATGCTCAGAGCCGGCTGCGAGTTAGAGACTTGAACAGTTCCCCCTTACTCCTTCGAGTGACCTATCCTGATTGTACTCCTACGGGAAGTTTCCCCTGAATGCCAAAGTGAAGTTTTATTACTTCGTGTAAGCCTTGGTTTGCAATTCACGTTGTGTGCGTGTGTTACTGGATCGTGTCTCAATTAAGTTCTCAGTCGGGTCTGCACTCCTTGCGTTTGGTGTGAGAGTCGAGGGTGACGTCCACGGCGTATGAAGAGGCTTCGTTCCGAAGTGGGAAGTCCAGTCTGGGTACCCTACGCTAGTTCCTGGCGGAAGGGCAGTAAAAGCCGGAGTGGGAGTCACTACCTGCAGAACCTCTGAGTGAACTTTTGAGACACTTTCCTCCTGAAATCCGAAGCGGAGGTCCTAACCGACCTCCGAGTTGTGCTTTTGCCAGTTTCAGGTGTGTGTGTGTGTGTGTGTTGAGTGACTACGCTGTACTGTGCATCCTCCGAGTCGAGATCCTCCTCCTAGTCGAACCTCCGAGTCGAGCACTGCAGTAATTCTGGGAGTGACAGTCGCCTGAGAATTCAAACTCTACAAAAGTCTGTTAAACGTGACACTTTTACTCTGTGTGTTGCCTCTGTCCCTGTGGATTCGATCTTTTTACCACCATACTGCAGTTTTAGCCTTTGGTGGGTTATTACGTAAGGAGCCGACTACTTCTTTTTGGGTTAGAGCCGAAGACTGGTCGGGTAGGAAGTTAGCGCGCGGCAGTCCGTCGCACAGGAGACATAGTAGGTGACCCGCAGTGTAGTGTAGTGTAGAGTGGTAGTTAGGACTTAGAAGGTATAAAGTAGTTCAAGGCGTCTTGCCTTGAGATTCTTCCAGTTTCGGAAGTGCAGATCGGGAACTCATTTTCTCTGCGTGTTTGTGTCCTTAGTTCTATCACCGCGCAAGAGTATCTACAGCTTGACGAAGATACCGCATTTGTAGCTGAAGGCCTTTGGCCGAATGTTCAGAGCTAGTGTACTGGTTAGATACTTGAGCAGTTTGGATCTACATCTGCGGGTGATTGCTGAATGCTCAGAGCTAGTAACTGATTAGATACTTGAGCAGTTCGTCCTTACACCTTCGGGTGATTGTTCCTGTTTGTACTCCTTCGGGATGTTTCCCCTGAATGCCAAAGTGAAGTTTTGTTACTTCGAGTAAGCCTTGGTTGTAAATTCAGGTTACGCTGTAGAAGGCGCCCTCTGCAGTATTTCTGGGAATGACTAGTGCCTGAGAAATCAAACTCGTCAATAGACTGTTATGGTGTGACATTGGATCTATTCTCAGTTGAGTTTCTCAGTTCGAACTTGTACTCTCTGCGCGTTTTGTGAGTTGAGTGTGTTGTTCACCGCGTGTGAGTGACTTCGGTTTGACGAAGATACCGCATCCAAAGTAGGATGTCCAACCTGGGTGCCCTGCACTAGCAGAAACTAGTGGAAGGGTTGTAAAAGCCGAGTTGGGAGTCACTACCTGTAGAGCCTTTGAATGTACTCGTGAGAAACTTTCCCCCTGAAATCTTAAGTGGAGGTACTAACCGACCTCTGAGTTGTGCTTTTTCCAGTTTCAGGTGTGTGTTGGGTGAACTACGCTGCACTGTGCGTCCTCCGAGTGACCTCCGAGTTGAGCACTTGCAGTATTTCTGGAAGTGACAGTCGCCTGAGAATTCAAACTCTTCAATAGCCTGTTAAACGTGACACTTTGTACTTTATGTGTTGCCTCTGTCCCTGTGGGTTCGACCTTTTTGCTGCTATACTGCAGTTTTAGCCTTTGGTGGGTTATTACAACAAAAACTCAAGAGCTCGCCAAAAGATCAAGAACTTCTGATGGAAGTGGCTCGGGTCGTGGTGATGATGCCAGACTGGTCGTGCACGGCTCGGTCACTAGTTCATCTTCATCGTCGTCCATACCACGGATTATATTAGAAAATTACTCTTGGGACTTGGAAATGTCTAGTGTGTCTTTGAAGAAAACTACATCGTTAGAGATTACTACTTTTTGCCAATTAGATCCCAACAACGGTAGGCGCTAAGGTTTCATCGTAGCCAAGAAGTAGCCCGCGAAATGCTTTGACCTCCAGTTTAGTTTGCTTTGCATGAGGTATATGCACATATATATTGCATCCAATTGTCCAAAGATGTGAAAGATTGGATGCTGAGCCAAACATTTTTTCGAAGTGAGTAAACAAATTTATTTCTCTAGTAGCACATCTATTATGTACATAGTTGATCTCTCGTAGTGTCTCTGTAATAACAGATAATCACCAAAATGGAACATAATGGTAAAAATCTGATCCTACAAGGACAAAAACTACATCAAAGAATCAAGTAGTGTCACAAATTAACTATCTATTGAGGAGTTTTACTTCTTATGCACATGTCACTCCCAGAAGTAATTGCAATTGCTACTGCCAAAGGCGACACAATGCAAAATAAAATCACACTCAAATCTTGAAATTCATCAAATAAATCCCCACAGAAGCCTCAAGCAACTCTGTAATTGATATTCATGGGGAAAATTTCCCAAGATTACACACTCAGCCGGGCACAGAGCTTCCAATGTACAAATTTGTTTAAATCTTGAGCTACACTATGCATCACTCAGAACATCCAAATTGGACACTTTACTTCAGATGCGGTATCTTTGACAAACTGAAACAACTGGCGCAGAGTGACAAAATGCACAACTCACAAACGCAAGGAGGAATGCGGACTGTAAGCATTAAACTCCCCACCCTTTGGCATTTTAGTTTGGATGGGGGGTCTAAGCAAACAAGGCTAATAACGAACATTTATAAACTCCACTTCACACACAACACTAATCGATTCAACCTCTATAGCAACGCGTTGACGCTTCACAGAACTTACCACTCCTGAAGATTTCAGGCAACCTCAACATTCATGATACTCGTCACGAGCCTTGCCTTCAATCCAACCTTGAACTTCACTGCAGAACCGTATGAATACTCTTCATACTTCCCCCGCTAAATGGTATATAGTGAAGAATCGATAGTAATGTGAATAGTTGAATATGATAAATGGCAATAAGTAAATAGATAAAGCCCGTGGGATCCAAAGTGTCAAAAGGCTAAAAAACACAATACAAAAAATCCAACTCCAAACAAGGAGAGAACCAAAAAACCCCTTAGCTAGTGTCCAAAGCACTAGAACGGTAACTAATAACATCCCTAATGTAACAACCTAAATCATAAGGCTCAAGCTGAAGCAAAGAATAAAAATTCTCAACAACAACTTTATGAGCCACTTTAATCTCTACATATCTAGTACAAGTAAGAAATACATGCTCTTCATACTCAACTTTTCTTCCATCACATAGCCTACAAATTCGTTCACTCCTATCAATGTTCAACCAACGCCCTTCTTCAATCCCAAGACTATGAGATACTGTTCTATGTCTAGCAATAATATGACGTAAAGGAGTAGATATCTCTGCACGTAAGTATCCTTGCTCACAATAAACAAGCATAGGATTCACATGAAGTTGATAAAACTGCATCTTGGTGCCTCGTTTGCTCCACATAATGTTGAGAAATTCCTCCTTAATACGCTCACGTAGGGCAATAGTTTGCAAATCCCAATCGAGTTCCATCACATTCCACCTCAAAGACCAAGTCATCACATCTGCAAACCACCCCTTGGGACGTGTGGCACGCGAAACTTCAAGAGGAAGTCAAAAAGCATCAAGAGATCTCATTGTTTGGACGTAAGTGATAGTCAAAAAGAGAGCTTCAGCCTCAAGAGGTAGACAACTTGTTTCCACAAGAAGAATTGCATAAGAAGTTTGGGTACTCACACCCAATTCTTCTTGTAAGAAGATCTTTTGCACACTCTAAATATATACTGGCCCATACAGGTTCGTGAGGAGTTTTTGTGCAACTCACGAAAACAAAAGCTCAACGCATTTTCATTCTAATCGGGTGTATCGAATATTGCAAGCTACTGTATAAGAGCTTGCAGTTTTATTTCATTTTATCAATATCGCACTTATATTATCGAGATCGGTGGAGATGCAGTGAGCGCGCTTGCTTCATGAATTCCTGACCAGACATTAATCCAGATTCGTAGTGATCCACAGTAATGCTGCTTGGCATCGAGTCCAACCTTGAAAAACTAAAGGGGTACATTAGTTCCACCAATAGGAATCATGCACATACGTTCGCAGAACTTCTCATTTATTTTTAATTCGGCTTTAACTCGTAAGAGAGTTGTTTAAGAATATTCATTGGCGATCCACAGACGACAAGCAGTCACCATACAGTCCCTTGCTGAAACTTCGACGTGCATGCAGATGCTTCAATCTCTCAGAGTACGATCGCTACGCCACATCAGCATGTCGAGTGAGCCATGGCGCAGTCACTTGCTGCAAACAGCACTTACGAGGTATGCTTTATGTTTTGCCCAATGGCGGCAATCCCGAAACTCGAGCACTCGAATTAAGAGCACAAACGGAGTCCATTCACTAGTCTGAACTTTCATGAGCTTCATAGTATGTACACAGAAGTTCTTCACAAACCGAAATGCCTCAGAGGTCCTGTCTGACCTTCGCGATGAGCTGCCTGAGGATTCCTGGATCGGTGATGCCGTAGTAAGCCCGGAAGATTTTCATCACTCTGACTTCTTGCTTGACGTGCTCCGGACTGCCCCAGCCGAACTCATGGCCAACCTCATGCAGCAAATGAGCCGAAAACCTCCGTCCCAGCTCGTGCCCAGCATTCACAGCAGTGAAGGCATCCACGAGCAAGGCCATGCGATCTGCTCTCCTGATGCCTGGACTGGAGGGATGTAGCTCTCGGAGATCGTCGTTGCTCAATCGGGAGCAGGCGAGATAAGGATCCACAATCGACGCCCTTATCCAGTTCCTCGCCTCCTCGGTGAACTGGTTAGACGCCATCTCCTGCTCCAGCGCCTCAGCTAGACGAGCTAAACGCAACAGCGATGGAGGCTTGTCGAGAGAGCTGGGGCTAAGATCATCGTCTTCCAATATGGTTATCTCCAGAAGCTCGACAACCTTCCTTTGCAGATTGCTGAAGCAGCACGGCAGAATCTGTTCGAACAAGCAGCGTCTACACCTGCACACGAATCCCAAGGTCACGCACTCTTCCAGCCGCCCTTCTGCACATTGGAACACATCGAAATACGGAAGCGTAATCTCCGTTCCCACGCACATGTCCCGCGATGCGAAGATGAGCAAGTAGTCTCCTATTCTGATCTTATGCGAGTTGGGATGGCACGAGTGGTTTATGAACGATGGCAGAGACCACACTCCCCAGCTTCGGCCATTTCCCTCCCTGTCACTGTCGCAGATTGCATTTTCTGCAACGATTTCCCTCAGAATTCTGATGTTCACGTTATCAAGGTCCGAAAGCTCATCGTTCGATCCGTCGGCAGTCTCATCGCAAAACGGTGGATCGGGAAAGAAGATATTCATGTTTGGAATGATTTTGCTCTGATCAGAGCGGCCGTCGCTGAAGCTGTAAACTTGGGGGAGTACTCTCGTCGTGGAGAGCATGTTGCATGCGAGCTGAGTGACAAGGTCCTCTTGAATGTCCAGCGTCATTTCTCGTCGGGCAGAGGACTCCAGGTCTTGACCGATGATGGTGAGGACACTCTTGTACGAAGAGATGGACTTCGGCTTATTGGTTACCAAAGCCAGCGCTTGGCTGACGATCAGCAATTGGCCGGCTACCACGGATTCTGTGAGAAACAAGCCTCGCCCTGCTCCTTCCCGAGTTTGTATCTCCACAGGACCCACGTAGCACGAGGAGATCGGAGGGGATACTGATTCTCCGCTGAGGAAGTATTCCGACAGATCGAGATCTCCATTATGGCACTGCTGGCGAGCGCTCTGGAAATCCTCGGAAGAGAGTTGAATGTTCGCCACGCTCGGCAGGACGGATTCCAGCTCGTGGCAGAGTTTGCTCCTTTCCAGAGCACGCTGGACCGACTTGTCTCGAGGGTTGAAGAGAAGGGCGATTTGGAAAACTTGAGCGGCCTCTTGGAATCGCTCGAGACCGAAGAGAGCCGTGCCTTTCATGAAGTGGATTTTCGAAATGCAGTCTTCTACCGAGTGATTCTTGAGCTTGCATTCCAGCTCCAGAGCTTTGTTGGCATCTGCCAGTGCCTTGGTGTAATTCTTCAACTGCAACCAAGTGGCACATCTGCCGGAGTAGGCAAGCCACAGGACATCCTCAGCAGGGGCCTGCACTGCCTGCCCACTGTGAATTTCGCCTGGACTGCGCCATATCTCCCTCTGCTGCCCACATCGGCCGATGCATTGCGTGTAGACCTGAGCCGCTTTGAACCAATCCATTGCATTGAAAAGAGCAATCGCTTCGTTCAGTTTGTGATCTGCAGTTTTGCTTGTCAAGGCAGCTGGCAAACGACGATCGGTCACCAAATGGACCTTCTCTGGGTTATCGACATACATCACCAAGCCCTTGTCCCAACCACACCTTTTGAGGACTGGGCTGTGCACGTCGATCAGAGATCCCCTCTGATACAACGAGGCAGCTCGGGCAATTTGTGCAGAGTTTGTGAAAGTATCAGGTGTGCCGATATTAATCATCACTCTCACAACTCTTCCAAACTTGTCTTCGAGCAGGCTGTTGATGACCGTGGCGCTTGCTTTCGATGTCGTAAAGATCTTCACGCTGCTGAAAGGCTCCACGCACAAGGTTCCGCACACTGCTCGGCCTGGATAACACGTTCCGACTGTGAGATCCACGAGAGAAATTTCTTCTGTGGTTGTTGCGTTTGATGCTCGCAGCTCAGCTTCTTCCAGCTCCGACCGATTTAGCGCCAGGTCCGGACTTATCCTCATGCGAAGCTTCTCCCATCGGTCGTAGGAAGATAGATGCACAGCTACAAGACCAACTTTGCTGAAGGACTCAGAGAACTTCCTGATCTCGGTCGGACTATACTCCAGTTCTCTCATTCCCCGATAAACTCTGTCCAGATTCGTTTTCCCAGTGCTGCTACTGGCAGGACTGCATGTAATCTTCCTGATCATCTCCGACATGCTTGCAGTGTTCCACGACAACACTTCAATGTCAACTTAAGCTGAAATTCCTTCGAATCACCTTCAAACTAACCGGGTGCCACAATGTATACGCCACTGCTGCTGAGCCCAGTACCTGTAACGAACCGACAGAGTTGAGAAGACCTTTGTGAGTCCTGAATATTTTCCAATGGCCTGAAGACATTTGCAGGTAATACATTCATTAAATCGACAAATCAAGGGTGGCTCTGTCTTGTTGAAGGACCCCAGTGCATGTACATGATGTGCTTCTGCATTCAAATTGTACGAACTGCTTATATGTACTCACCTAGATTTCATTCCTGTCTTGCAAACTGGTCTGTAAGCTTATCATAAGACACAGTACGAATCTTGGATGAAGGCCTCCTCCTCGCATCAGTGACAATGCCTGCAGGGCCCATAACCCTTCGATATCAAGACCTCAGATGTTGAATGAGCGGCTCCCACTTTCCACACACACATGCAAGTACCAGAATCTTGTCCAAGAGAGACGAGCATCATTCGATCGATGTGACGAAATCCCATTTAGCAGTCCCAGTGCAAGGCGCTCGCCCTCAACTTCAGCAGTTCTATGAAGCTCGCAACATTTCTCTGCACGCGTGAAGAGAAGAAAGGAAGAATCTGGTATCAGACAAGTCTTGTGATCAGAAATCGAAGTCCGATCACTCGCCTCCTCTTTCATAGCTACGAGCTCAGGCCCAACCTTCAGATGGCTCAGACAAGCCTCCACATTTTGAACAACCAACCGTCCACGACTCTTGTACCTGTCATATTTTGAAAGTCAAAAATGAGGCCCTCCATCATCGATGAATATGACCAGTACTTTTGAGTTCATGGGCGGTCCATGGGCAACAGCACAAGCCCCCATTCATGAATTCATGAGTATGAGGGATCTCCGAGTTCTGATCTAATGTCTGGAGATTTGGATGTGCGTACTACTACGATCTGAAACTCAGACTATAAAAGGAGATCAAAATCAGATATTATTTTGGTCAGGTCTACTTCATTCATCTTCAACGTATGCAGCAGTGTGCTCGTGTTCACAGCCTGACGAGTATTGTCACTTCAAATCGCTGAGAAATGGCACTACATCGCAAAGATCCATGAAGTTTTATATGAATAACATTCAAATTTAGAAAATGGGTCTCGGAGGTGGGAGGAGAATAGGGCCCCAGTTCACTCATATCCTCCCAACGGAAGAGAGAGCTTGTCTCATACTCCTTGATCTGACCCGAATCTCGAATGAAAATTCTATGTAGCGGGTTGAGCTCATATATCTATAGCTTCTATATTGTTTGGAGGAACTTGGGATCAGGGTACTAGACTATCAGTCCAGGGCCACTCATAAGTGCTCACACTTTCGCAAATAGTCTGTGCGTGGACCTGCAGGGATTTCCATGTAATAGTTCCCTCAGCTATGGCGGAGAGTTGTCAGTCCAGGAGGTCCTATTCAGTTCATCACACTGTTTTTGCTGAACACTGAGAGTGAATTTTGCAAATGTCTCTTCCTTTATTATATTTCAGGTTCGTTAGTCTTTATATTAAAGTATCCGTCGAATCGAATGATTATTCTCAAGTCAGAAAGACGGAAGGTGTATACATTCATGGGGCAATTGAGTGTTATATTCTCCTTACTTCGCAGAAATGAAGTCTCACGTGAAAAGATGAAATAAAGTATGATTGGATGACTTGGAATGGGCACGTCAATACTTGGAGTTTTGTACCGACAGTTCTCATGTCCAAATTTGGTTTACATGCTCCTTCTTGCACTCCATGACGAGGTTAGATTGGCTTTTGCTTATAGCTTGATCATTTAGCTCCTAATCTCATGCACAAGTTAACAAGTTATTTTTTTTCTCTACGTTTCACAATGATGTTCTTTCTGTCGCAAGAGATGGCATGCTAGATATATGGAGGTGCGTCTAGAGTCTGAAATTTTTAGTTTGATTAAAACTACATTGCAAGAGCAATCCAGAAGTCCACGCTTGTGAGATGAAGCTATATGATACTTAATACTTGACTTAATTGCAACTATGTATCCTAGCATGACTCAAGAGTCATGCTAGAAGTATAGCTAAGAATACATGGCCTTCCTCATTTGTATATAAATTTGATAAATCTACTTCAACCTCGTACCTTTAACACTCATCCATCATATAAACAAGGCAGTATTATTAGAGGTTAATAAGTATCATCCACATGTCGCGATAATAAGTTTTTGTACAGATCTATTAGTCTATATTCATGTGTTTGTGAGGGATGGTAAACGAGCAACATATAGACTGTATTCAAACTTATGATCATTTTAAGAATTACATTCATTCACTTTTGGTAACTAGTAGATCTCCATCACAATAGTCATTTGTTCGGTATTAGTTGGACTTGTTAGTATGAAAAGTGAATCACGATGCATCCAATCAAAACTTGTTCTTAGTATTATTGTGTTCATATATCATGGGTTCTTGCACCAAATTCATATAGACACAAACGAAAGTATATGTGAACATGCAATACCATACCAAGAGTAAAAGACGTTGACTATCACTTTCCTTCACACATTATATACTCTGCAGGAGACACATTTATCCAATGCTATCCCTTAAAATAGGCAAAATGACTACAATGCCATGAAACATGTTGCCAACTTCAACATCAACTTCAACCTCGTCTCACATGTGCGAGCACTTGTAGTATCAAGTTGGCATCGATGACAAGTGATCCTGTCAAGCTGTCTCTCTGTACACAACATTTGAGGACCGACGGGACGAGCATACCGTTACGGGCGTCATCCTCAAGGAGAGCCTCAAAGCACTTCGCCGACAGCCCACGTCCAACGTCGAATACATCCCGGAACGGGAAGACGGCTGGCTCCGTTCACGGCGAGCCTGACACCGGTATCCCGACCGGTATATCGGTCGGGATGCCGTGAAACTCGCCGCCACTGTATTAAGCCGTATCTCTCCACAAGCTCTTCTAATTTAGCGACGGATAAAATGGAGAAATAAATTGAGAAATATGAATTTAGAAATGGAGAGTGAGTCCGATGGGTCGTCTAGATATTTATGATTTTGAAGATGAAAAAAAACTTATCATTAAGAAAATAATAATTTTACACTATAATTTACACCTGAATGAATTTTAAATTTTTAGTAAAATTTTTTCTCATTAAATTACATATATATAAATCAAATATTCAAAATTAATTATACAAAAAAGAAATCTTAAATTGAATGTTTTTTTGGATAAACATGTCGCCGGAGCTCACCGACGGCGGCACCAACTTCCACAGGTGGTGGAATCGGAGGCCGGCCGGACACGCGGAGGTTGCTCGCCGGCGAAGGCGGTCGGTCGAGAGGCCCGGCGAGCGCGAGTCGCGTGTGGCAGTGGGGGCAGTGGAAGGAAGAGCGCGGGATCGAGTGACAGACACAGAGACGACATTTGCGAGCATTTGATCGAATTATGCTCGAGGCCTTTTGAATCTTTCATTCGCTCTTTCGCTCGCTCGTTCCCTCTTTCTCTCTTTCCTTCCTTCCTGCCTTCCTGCGTTCCGACCCAGAGAGGTCGGAGGCGATGGAGCCAGTGGTGGTGGACCCGGGCTCGCAGCTTCTGAAGGCCGGGTTCGCTCAACCCGACAGCGATCCGTCACTCGTCAGTTCTCTGAGCCCTAGTCGTTTCGAATCCTTGTGTTTGTGTTGAATTTTGGGCTGGTGCTGATTGCTGATTGCGGATTGCGGTTGTGGCAACGATGGGAGATCTCAGACCGGTTTTCCTGCCTGCAGGTTCTGCGAACGGCGATGACCAAAGAAGCGGCCCAGGATGAATTTGCCGGCAAGAGCTTGGATCTCAGTCAATTGGATGTGATAAACCCTGTCCAGAGGGGTATGGTCAAAGATTGGGACGCAATGGAGGACCTCTGGCGGTATGTTCTGTACTCCGGTCTGGGTTGGGAGCCTGGCAGTGAAGGCCAGATCCTTATTGCGGAAGCGCTGTTGACTCCTAAGGTATGCCTTAAAAAAATCAAATTAAAACTTGTTACGAATGCGGTGGTAGTGCTGCATTTGCAGGGGTGGTAAGAGTTTTATCTGGGAGCTCAGGACTAGAACAGAGAACAAAGAGATGAGGATCCTGTCATATAAAAAATTGCGTGTTATTGTCTTGCATGATCTGTACAGGCAATCTTGCATTATGTTCCTCTACTGGAGTAAATTCTGCAGGTTTTCTTATACTGACACAGTTCATTTTTAGCCTAAGGCCGTAATGCATGTTCATGAGAAAAACCCTGGAGCTGGGATGCTGTTCCTGAAAGACAGCTCGGAACGAAAGACAGCGAAGTTTAGACCTAGTCCGGAAGAATTTTCTACCGGCTGTGATCTCTAATAGGCATTTTATCGTTTAATGAACACAGGCCTCCAGGGAGAGAATGGTGCAGATTATGTTCGAGAACTTCAATGTTTCCGGCCTCTATGCTGTCGAGCAGGCTGTACTCTCATTGTATGCCATCGGGCGTATCACTGGAGTTGCTGTCGATATTGGCCATGGAAAAATAGGTACTCGCCTGCCAGTTCTTACGTCCACATGCCAAGCATTTTATTTCAGCTTCAAATACTCAGTTGCTTTGATATGTGCGGTTATGTTTTGTCATTTAAAGATCGTCTCTCTGTACAAAATATTATCTCTTTAGTGGACATTCTTGCACCGTATTCAAGTTATGTTGATTCACAGGCAGTGAGTCCGCTTTGTCGCGGTGGACACCGGACTTTGGATCACACCAACACGTAGACACCTAAATGTGAAACACAATGAGTGTACTACCTGAAGCAAAAGTTTTTGCTCTGCAGGTCAGTTGATATGAGGCTGATGAAGGTCTGCAACGCCCTCGATCTTGTGTTTGCATTCCACAGACATTGCCCCTGTATGGGAAGGAACAGTTCAGCACAATGCCGTGAAGAGGTTCGAGCTGGGTGGGCAAGAACTCACTTCTCTTTTTGGTATGGAGCTCAGGAAAGCCCACCCCGAGCTAAATCTGGACTTTGCAACTGTTGAAGCCATGAAGGAAAGGCATGCAGCTGTTGCAGAAGACCACGTTGCCTACAGCAACTATGCCGAAGATTGTGATACAGTAGAGCACACGTTGCCTGATGGAAAGGTCAGTTACCCGCTTGTTCTTATCGATTGTCGAACTGTAGATCAGTAATGTTTTCAGCAGCATTTATATTTTACCTGTCTCGTCGAGGTCCGTTTCATTTCTTCTGGTGGTGATCTGGAGGAATCAGGTTAGAGAGAAAACACGAATGGAAAAGGAGTCCAATCACTGGTCGTCCGTTTGTGGACAACGGAAGCTTTTCTTGACGTACATCGAACTAATTCTATCTTGATCATAGGTCATTTACCTTGGAAGAGAAAGGTACGCTGTCGGTGAAGCTTTATTCCAGCCGTCGCTTCTAGGAATCGAGGAATACGGCATCGCTGAGCAAATGCTTCGTAGTGTCTCATCATGCGTACCAGCAGAGAATCACCGCCAATTAGTAGAAAACATTGTGCTTTGTGGGGGTACATCTGCAATGTCAGGTATTTTGATCGTGATGGCCTTGTTAAATCCGTATGCTTGAGTCTTGAACTCAACGATCAGTTCCTTGAAGTCTGGCGTTGGTTTTCTATTTAAAACGTCGCCTCGAAAGTTCTAATCATTTCCTTGTGGATCAGGTTTCGAGTCTCGTTTTCAGAAAGAAGCCATGCTGTTGGGTACTCCGTCAATCCGACCGTCTCTGATTAAGGTATATGTGCATTTGAAACCCCAAACACAGTGGTTAGAAACTCAAAGTAAGACGGGTATGATTGATGTATCTGTCGGTTATAACTGCGAGAAGAAATTATGGATCATAAGAAGTGAATGACGTACTAGCTCACAACTAAAAGTTAGGAACGCAACAAACTCTAAAGTCCAGAGATGAGAGAACCTTGCATCATATTATCAAATATCTTTGTCTATTGTAACGCATCTATTGTCACAGATCTCTCATTTGAAATCTCGATCCATGTTCGTTGTTCTTTGAATGTTGGCTCATTTGTTATAGTCGCCATGTTCGTTTACAGCCGCCAGAGTACATGCCTGACAACACTTTGAGATATTCAGCATGGATGGGAGGGGCGATTCTTGCCAAGGTGGTCTTTCCTCAGAATCAGCATATAACAAAGGCTGAATACGATGAGACAGGTCCTACCATTGTACACCGCAAGTGCTACTAACCTCCTGGGTAAGATCTTCAAATTTTGGAATCTTCTCCTGAAACCATCCGTGTGTTTAGTTATGTACCATGCGAAGGTAATTGTTCCCAGAGACATATGTTCAGTAATAATGTTTCAAAACCTTGATCGACCGAAAGTGTTGTTTGATTGTGAACGGACTGTTTGTCTCCGTTCTGTTCTCATGTCAACAGGAGCAGGAAGTTTCAGCTGGAACAATTTGACACGCCATTTAGCCTACGAATGTACGACATCAACGTTTGACAAGAGAGTCCTGGTTTAGGTCATGCTCTTTTTGAAGTGGCGGAAAGTCTGGCCACCATCACGTCAATTGGTCGTTTTAATTGAATTGGGAACCAAGTCAGTTTCCATTACGTTTGGAGTAGAGTAGAATGGATGCTCTTGTATGATACAAAATAGATCTGGCAATGAAAGTATGCATACTTTGTATCCTGTTGTCACAAGCCTTTGGATAGCCACAGTTATCTTGCAAAAGAACTGTAACTCGAAATTTGTAAACCAAGATATCCAGGTGATGCAAGCTCGTTGACGATGGCTGCACCTACACATGTTTTTAATCCAGTGGGAATTTTCCAGTCCTCGTCTTCTTCGAGAATCAAGTGTACGTACTAGTTTTTAACGCGAAATTTGCCAGCTTCTCGTCCTCCATTCTATTGTTTACTCTACATCCTTACATTCTGATTGGAATGTGGATTATCAGCCACGTACATGCCACGAGATTTGATACCATCCGACAAAATCAATTTTTGTTATGAAGGTCGCCGCTGTTAACAAGAGGAGTAACCGTAAATAAAGCATTACATTAAAGGTAGAAAAGATTTTCATTAAACCCAGTGAAGATCTGGTCATTATCCTTTGTATATATATAATTTCGATATAGAAGCAAAGTGGACTTCACCTAGCAACAAAGCCCTTACTGAATTAACAGTAGTGTTCGTTAATGGGAATGGACCCATTGGACCCTGGCCATCAGCAACTTACTCCTTTTTTGTCTCATGTGATGAGCACTTGATTAAAGGAGGCGCGGTGTCATATGCAAACCATGTTATCATTAACAGAACAACCCCGGGATGTAAAAGCCCAAAACTAAATGCGAACATGGCTTTAACATAAACCTTCCCTCGGACTCATGTCTGACCGGGTCATGTGTGGCCAAAATTATTATAAACTAGACTGCCTTCCGTCTGGAGTGATAAAGGCAGGCTGACTTGCTTTCTATGATTCGCGAGACACGCCAGCTCCAATCCTAAAAGCACTGTAATTGGCGGCAAAAGCCAGACTACCGTCGGCCGGATGTAGACCCAACAGGACTGTACTTTCATGTACTGGCGTGCCATGCATAGCAGTGACACGCTTATTCGACAGAGAGCATATTCGACATCTCAGCAACATCTACATCCTGGCGCTTTCTTAAATACACGTCACACTCCAAGATAACGTGTATAGGTTACATACACATCAGTTCATTGACTAGTACGAACTTCCTCTTGAAGATCTGCTCCTTGGTCTTCCTCATTTAAAGTGAATGACATCTATCCAATCCTATTGCCCGCTCTGTCTTCAAAACCTCACTACTCATCCTTCCCGAATTAAAAGACTGCGTAGATTGCTATACTGATTGAGAATCGGTGTTCGGAACAGAGAGCTCTTATACTAGATGACAACTTGATATCATTATAAGATTAGTTTTCACGTTGCCAACAAGCAGACGTATTGGCCTCACAACACAATCATACATGTTTTGAGGCCAACAGTTCACAATGCCCTACAAACTCCTTCACTAATACAAACTGAAAGACCCTGGACAGCATATATCATCTGCAAAGTGAATATATGACATTGCAGAACAAGACACAAGAGACGAAATACGTTAATTGTACATAAATCACACCACTGCAGTGCATTGTAATGCAATAAAGCGACCATAATGCATGTTCATTGATCTTACATGCAAGATGCATCTAAGTTGATGACCTGAATTGGCCACATTCAAGGTATAACGGTGGCCAATTCATTGCAACATCTACGACAGATATACATCGGAAAAAGGCGGGTACTGAGGATGTAGGCATTTGAATGAAAGATTTACAACAGATGTGCTGTTACAAGCGGACTGACGTAGAAAGTCTAAGGCAGGTCTTCAACTTCCGTACATGGACAACCTTTGGCACGAGATTTTCTCTATTAATACTCCTATGCAACCTCTAACAGATTGGCTAAATAAATATGAACTAATAAAGGCACACAGAAACAAAAATTGCAGGGACGCTTGCATCTGCGGTGCAAAGTGTAAGCTCCAAGGTCAATATTCTCCATTAATGTTCAGATCTAAACAATTGACAAATTACCAAGACAATAATCTGCTCCGATTGGCTCATGGGAGTGATCCAGTCCTCGACCGATGCAGTTACGTCACACGTGACTTATGAATCAATAGATCTTCACCTCCAGAAAGATGTAACCACCAGGAAAACATACATGAGCAACCACTGTTATTACAATTTTCACAAAAAGTTCCAACTCTATGTCCGTGCGTCCCGCTCGGTCCCAAGGAAGCTTGTAAAAGGGCTGGAGGCCACACCTGCAGTGATGGACCGAACTTTTGCCCACTTGATCTGCCCACTAGTCCTCAATCAACACAAGGCAAAGCATAGCCATCATGCTCTGCACGCAAGCCAGCCCAATGTGGCTTCATCTACAGATCGGAGTGCAGTCTTCTATTCTCCTCGTGATTGTCCGGCGCGGGAAGACAGGATGATACCCACAATAAGACCGTACAAAGCCAGCGCCTCGGCGAAAATGAGGATAAGGATCATTCCCACGAAGAGCTTGGGCTGTTGGGCGTTGGCCCTGACTCCGGCATCTCCGACGATACCGATCGCCATACCAGCTGAGAGTCCTGCCAGTCCACAAGCCAATCCCGAGGACAGATGTGCATACCCATCGAACAGGTAGTAGGGTTTGGCCTTAGGGTTGATCCCGGTGGAGATAATAACAGCGATAATCAGCCCGTAAATACCCAACACTCCCGCCATGACCACTGGCACGATGGATTTCATCACCAGCTCGGGTCTCATGACTCCCATGCTGGCCACTCCCACTCCACTCTTGGCGGTTCCATAGGCCGCTCCCATGCACGAGAACACGAGCGCTGCCGCAGCTCCGATGAAGCCGAAGAAGGGCGCGGTCTCATCACCGGAGAATCCCACATCGGTCGACATCTTTCCTTCTCGTTCCTTCCTTTCCCTTCTCGCTCTCAAATCAATCAATCGATCAATCAATCAATCAACCAATCGATCTCTCCTTCTCCTCTCCTGTGAATCTCTCTTCTCACTCTCGATCTCTATCTCCCGCTGCGCCTGCCCCTCTCTCCTCGACGAGCTCGACGACTTGACGAACTTGCGCACGGCCAGCACAATATAGCCCGCGCTGCGATTCGGCTCGAGCTCGGGACGGGCGACAGTGAGAGCGAGAGATCGACACGACGAGAATGAGCGAGGGGCGGGGGCACAAGAGGGGGTTCCGAGCAGAAGCAACAGATCACCCAGAGCCAGGAACAGAAGCCCTCCTGCTTTCCACGATTCCGCACATGCCACCTGTGAACAGCCAGATGGCCACTCGCCGCCAATCCCCGCCCTCCACGCGTCCCCTCTCTCCCGGCCATCCCCGTCGAAAAGCCGTCGGATTTCCTTTTCCCGGCTATGATCATTCCCGGCGAATCTCGGACGCGGCCTTCACGATGGGCGCATAGTGGGCACCCGATGGCCATTTCCAAACGTTACCCATGGCCCCTCTGGCTCGCCCCCTCCCTCCCTCCCTCCCTCCCTCCCTGGAGTTCCCATTGACCTGGACCCACTATTTTACGCTTCTGATGACTTCTTCGGGAACGCGGTAGGACTGAGTGCGTCTACGCAGTTGGTTAAATCGCCCGTGAGAGAAACTAGAAGGCATGGAGGTCTTGGGATGTGTCTTGCTGAGAAAAGAAGGGCTCTAGAAAAATCAAAATTGACGTAGCTCATGCCCATAAATCATATGCCTGGTAGCCCTGCCTCCCTCCCTTCCTGGAGTTCCCATTGACCTGGTCCCACTATATTTCGTTTCTGTGGCAACGCGGTAGGAAGTTTACGGAGTGAGTTCATCTACGCAGTTCGTTAAGTCGTCCGGGAGAGAAACTACAAGGCATGGAGGTCTTGCTGAGAAAAGAAGAACTCTCGGGAAATAAAATTGACGTAGCTCATGCCCATAAATCATATTCCCGGTAGCCCTCCTTCCTTCCCTCCTTCCCTTCCTTTCTGAGTGAACGCGGTAGGAATTTTACGGAGTGAGTGCGTCTACGCAGTTCTATAAATCATCCGGGAGAGAAACTACAAGGCATGGAGGTCTTGGCATGTGTCTTGCTGAGAAAATAAGAGCTCTAGGAAAATTAAAATGGACTCAGCTCATGCCCATAAACAATATTCCCGGTAGCCCTCCGTCCCTCCGGTGGTTTTCTCCGCGTCCGTCTAGACATGTCATAGGACCTGCTCAGCCTGAGGCTCTGGCGGGCCAGGTGGCGTCAATCATTGAGCCATGGCCATGAATGCGAGGATGGCACTGCGTCAGGTCTTCGTGGATCTAACCCGGAGCTGAGCGCCAGGACCGATCGAGCCGGTGCACCACCGGCCGGGAACGCCCATTCGTGGGAGAGCACGACACGACGGCCACGTTTATGTTGTGTCTGGACGAGGAGGTCGGGTGCAGGAGGGAGGCCATCGATGGACCTGCCCCTGCGTCTCACGGATCGACGATGGGAAAGCCTTTGATATCATTCCATGAAAATGACGATGGATTCCTTAGAATATGATCATTGAAGAAAACTCGATCCGATGCCTTGAATTCGAGCAGTGTGACTTCTCAATGGAAATGTGACACAGGTTAGCTCTTGCAAGGTGATTTTGTTTACTAACGCAAGTACTTTTTGTGGTAACAAAGGAATATGTAAGTCATTCAGTATTACTATCATACATCTTATAGTGTTTGTAAATTATTTATGATACAAATAGGAGAAAGTAGATCTCGCTTTTCTAAATAGGAGATTGAACTGATTTGATTGGAGTAATTGGAAGTATGGACGATACCAGAAATAACTTTCATATGTATATATACGAATATGGCCGTTGTTTGATAATATTACCATCTTATCTTCGTGAGCAAATTGCACTGGAAGTACTCAAGTCGTTGAAGCCAATCATCATTTCTCTGCTACAGTCCAGTTTGATAGATATTTTTCCCAAGTAGGTTCAAGTACACTATCGATATTATAGAGTATACTAGCAATTAGGCCTTAAATGATAAAGCCTTCAATTGTGTTAAAATATGTATTTGCGTCAATTCAAATTCCTTCATAATTTTTTAAATATTGCCCACGGATCATCTTGATAGCTATGTTATTTGAAAAGTAAAAACCTTGACCAAGTACTAAAGTTTGTATCATCCAAAACTACAACATGTTTTTTCATGAAAAAATTGCTAAAATTACATAAATATTAGATAACAAAATCTGAATTATTATCTAATCTCTCTAATCAAAATGTTTACTTTTCAAAAGGTTTTTTCAAGAAAATTTAGAACGCTTTGTAAATTATAACTCTATATATTTAATCAAGCACAATTTAAAATATGTTTTTTCAATTATTCTATATATTTGTCACTGTAAGTCATTACATTTTTATCTATAATTTCTATATGTGATTCTGTTTTTTTAGCATGTTTTAAATTATTTCAATCATTTCAGTTTTAAAATTTGATTATATTTCGATTATTTATATAAATATTAAATAAAATAAAATAAAAAACTTTTAATATAACAATTGAACGTCATGTATAATTTTATTGTAAATAACTTATTAGACTGTACTTTGGGATTTTAAATATCAATCAGTAAATTATCAAAATTTTATGATTTTAGTTTTAAAATCTTTAATTATATGAAATTTCTATTTTAAATGATATATCTGCCATATTTAAACAAACAAATTATGTTGTTTAAGAACTTGAAGTCGTTTTAGATCTTAATTTGAAAACTCTTCACTAGCAATTACATACCTCAACAATTTGAAACAATATGTTACAATAATATTTCACATTAATCTAGTTTTCAAAATCATAAATATTGTGCAATGTCTATATATACCAAACCCTACAGTTCATTTGATGTATACAGAATAGTCTATCATATGGATGATTACTTTATTCATCCTGTATCACTATATTATTATTACTATTAGTAAGATAAGTTACATTTGTATTTATGAACGATTATTTAGATATGCTGAATACTAGAGTTTATTGCTAATGATTCTTATTAAAACAGACAAATTTTCATTGACAAAAACACTAAAATGTTCATAAAATAAAATTCGGAATATATTCAACAAAATAAAATTATCTTTATCTCAAAAATAAAATAGTTTATCCCACATTTCAAGGATTTTCAGCATTGATGATTGACAGAATTGAACAATTGATAAGATCCTCTGAATATTTTTTCCCTTTTTTTAATTATATTTACTTTTCAAGATTAAAAAATATAACTATCATTGTTTTCTAAATCAAATTTTAAATTAATGAGCAAACGTTTGTTGAACATATATAATTCAATACCTTTCAAAATTCAAAGTCTAAAACAATGATGAATGTGAACTGACAACTTGTTAAATCTTCTTGAAAACTGAAATAAAACTAGTCAATAGAAAATGATCTGGCCTTCGATAAATTGTTGATCACATTCTTTATCAGACAAAATTACTGTATTATGTAATGAAAGTAGAAAATTTTCCTTTATTTATTGTTAATTGAAATAGTAATGGGGTGTGATCACCTTTTGCAGATAGTTACATTTCCATGATGAAAAAAAAAAGACTACGATTACAGTTCAAAACAATATTAATGTAGAGAAAATCATTAACTTCAAGATGAAAATTGAGTTAAATAACTCCACCCACCTCTGATCTCCTCTCAACTAGTTACTATTAAATTGACCTCTAAATCCATGACGTCGACTATTCTATTGATGCAGTAAATTGCTTGATATAATGAAACAATGAACACAATGACCATCCACAAATCCAGTCACTGCATAGGCACCGCGATTTGGTATGTTTATGGCATGTCATTTCATGTGTACATTGTGTTTGATTTCAGATCTCATCAATCATGTATATAATCATGTACTTGGCAGGAGAGGATGGTAACTCTCCATCGAGACAAGACGGCTATGCCCCCTAATATAAAAGTTACGTTTATTGTCTCACTATATAATATTTCCTCTTGTCAAAACAAGATGAAAAAAATTTAATCTCAAAGTGGTGGACTGGACGGTCAATCACCTACCGTAAATAAAAACAGGCCCCATAATACAATCGTGATGTTTATTGTATTGGCGATTGGACACTCAGCAAAAGTTACGTTTATTGTCTCACTATATAATATTTCCTCTTTTCAAAACATGGTGAAAAAATTTAATCTCAAAGTGGTGGACTGGACGGTCAATCACCTACCATAATACAATCGTGATGTTCATTGTATTGGCGATTGGACACTCAGCCAGTTCCAATAGAAAAATACCGGTTGGGAACCGGTGAGCGCCGCTGCCGGGGATCGAACCCGGGTCACCCGCGTGACAGGCGGGAATACTTACCACTATACTACAACGACTTGATGCAATCAAAAGTACAACAAGCGGTATTATTAAGTTAAACTGTGAACCTATCTCACCAGTATCTTCAAAGACTGCATTTTCCAAATCAGCAGAGTTCATCGAGGTTTACCAAAACGGAAATAAACTCGAAATTTCACGTCACTACAATCAATGAACTAGCTCTGTCAGCAATCAAACATTCGCTCGCAACTGTTTAAAGACAAACAACAGAATGCGGAGTCACAAACATAATTTTTTGCAAGATCGCCCACTTTTACATAAAGATGTTTCGATTGCCCTGGGGAGATGAAGATTATGCACAGTACCTAAAAATGTCAAATCGGCTATGATTTTCATGAACGTGAGAGCATGAATAAGACTATAATGTCGGCATAGGACATATGATTTGCATTAAAAAGATATAGATTACTCTCAACTTCAAACTTTAGCCATTCGAGTGTAGATTCGAATTAAGCATGCGCAATCTTACTTTAGCTTCCAAAATAACCAGTTGAGTACTTAAACTGATCACAATGTTAACTCAGTATGCTTACGTTAAAATTGAAGATATTATGTCAGCATATTATCAACAAACATTTTGAAAGACTTTGCACATGTCATACGATCTAATAAAACTGCAACCAATAAAAAATGAAAACATCTAAACGTCCATGTTCTCCGATGTGGGATAATATTTTTTGGGTATATCTGCCTCTCTTTATTGTTCGTTCAACTTTATTTATCACAACAAATAAGCCACATAGAGCTACCGGAAAGTTAACTAACAAATCGAGGATCAACTAGGATAACTGACTACACATCAAATCTCTGATGTCTTTTGTGACAGGGACAGTCTAGCTGATGGGTCCTTCAGGTAGAGTCGAAAGACAGCGGTTAACAAAGTAGCAAGCGGAATTGGGGAGCCTCATCCCATTACTACACATTTCAAGTTCTGATCCGAACACACGTTGGATCCCTCTGAACAATATTCCTAGCCTGCACCAAGGCTCTGTTCGTG